TGATCCTGCCACTGCACTCCAGCCTGTGTGACACAGATCAAGACCCTATCTCCAAAAAAAAAAAAAAAAAAAAAAAAGTCGAAACTGGGTTTTGTTGAGCCATATTAAGTATAGATGCTTCAAGAAAATGCCTAAAGATCAGAAAGCATCAGGTGTCCTGTGGTCTTGTGATAATACACAACTGGATTCTTTCCTTGGGAGTAATGGGATGTGCTAGAATTGCTTAACTATGGCTGGGATGTGGAGAGGAGGCAGAAGGAGTGGGAAAGACGGCAAGAAGGTGCAAGCGTGAGCAGCCTGGGGGCGGAAAGAGCTTTTGCTTTGAAGACAACTGATAAGATGGTCATCCAAACGTGTCTGAGCATCAGAAGCGTGGCGCCGGCTGACTGCCACTTGATACCGGGCACTCTGCATGCCTTGTTTTCTTTAAGTTTTGCAACAGCCATCAGTCATCCCAGAGGTCAAGAAGTGAGCCAAAAGCTCCAGGGCCGATAGCTGGAAAGGTAGGATTTGAATCCTACACTTGGTGATTCCAAAAGTTTCCGCTGGGCCCTCTCAGATTCATGCCAAATCACAAGCAAAATCTCTCCAGTCCTCCACCTCTGTTCTAAACCTTTTCTTTCTTGATTTAAGTGAAAATCTTACTTGCGTCTGAGACTATGACCCCCCTGCAGCTTTTTCCAGGTTGTATGTCAGGGACAGGGAAAGGGGTTGTGCTTTTATTCCCACGCCTCTTGGCTCAAAGCGACTGAAGATGGAGTCAATGTCCACCTTACGTCTCCAGGCTGCTGTCTCCTCCTTCCCTAAAATCTGTGAGCTCTGCAACTGTTGGCATCTGCACCCCTCCACAAGGGACAGGCACATCTTGGTTTATTGCATTTTGCAGATATTGGTTTTTTTTTCTCCTTGTTTCAAGTTTTAATGAAAGCTTGCATATAAGATCACTTTATTCCTGAATCTTCTCAATGGTTTCCTCCTTGTGTTTGCCCTTTTCCTTTCCTACTTGGCGAGATTTGGCTTTCTGTTCAAGGATCTTTTTGAGGTCTTTGTCCAGTTTTAGCCTAGTGATAACCACCTTGCTGGGTGAATGCCTACATGGACAGTTGTGCCATCAGCCCTTTCCCGCTGCACCCGTTCAACGTAGATTACGTATTTCTTCCTGTAAACCTGGACTACTTTGCCAATCTGCCGACCTTTCTAGTGTCCTCGTACAGCCTGAACTTCATCATCCTTTCAGATGGGCACGGATCGCATGCTGTGCTTCTGCCTCAGCTCTTTGGAAAGAGGGGAGGACATAGTCTTCCTGTGAATGTGGGAAGGTGCATTGAAATGCCTTTTGCCATTCTTGCTTCGGTTGGAAGTCACAAAGGGATTGAACTTCATTTTGGCTGCTCCAGCTTCGGTGATGGCCGCAAAAGGGGGTATTGTGTTTTTCACAAATGGAAGGTTTGTGGCAACCTCTCACTGAGCAAGTCTATTGGTGTCGTATTTCCAATATCATGTGCTCAATTGTGTTTCTGTCACATTTTGGTATTTGTCACAATATTTCAAACTTTTCATTATTATTATTATGTCTCATCATTATTTGCAATCAGTGATTTTTTATGTTACTACTGTAATTGTTTTAGGCTGCCACGAACTGCAGCCATGTAAGAAAGCATGAATTGATAAACACTGTGTGTTTTCTATCAGCTCCACCAGCCTGTGGCTCTTCAGTCTCTCTCCCACTCTTCAGGCCTCCCTATTCCTCGAGATGCAAGCAGTGTTGAAATCAGGCCAATTAGTGACCCCACAGTGGCCTGCAAGTGAAAGAAAGAGTTACCTGCCTCTCACTTTGAATCAAAAGCTAGAAATAATTAAGCTTAGTGAGGAGGGCATTTAAAAAAACTGAGATAGGCTGAAAGCTAGGCCTCTTGTGCCAGATAGCTAAGTTGCAAATGCAAAGGAAAAGTTCTTGAAGGAAATTAAAGGTGAGCACATGAATGACAAGAAAGTGAAACAGCCTTACGGCCGAAAGGGAGAAAGTTTTAGTGGTCTGGGTAAAAGATCAAACCAACCACAACTTTCCTTTAAACCAAAGCCTAATCCAGAGCAAGGCCCTAACTTGCTTCAGTTCTATGAAGACCGAGAGGGGTGAGGAAGCTGCAGAAGACAAGTTGGAAGCTAGCACAGGTTGTTCATGAGGCTTAAGGAAAGAAGCCATCTCCATAACATGGAAGTGTGAGGTAAGGCAGTAAGTGCTGACGTAGAAACTGTACAAGTTGGCGGGAAGATGTAGCTGAGATCACTGGTGAGGGTGGCTGCACCACACCGCAGATTTTCAGTGCAGATGAAACACCCTCTATTTGAAGAAGATGCCATCTAGGACTTTCACAGCTAGAGAGAAGTCAACATAGGGCTTTAAAGCTTTAAAACATAGGCTGGCTCTCTTGTTAGGGGCTAGGCAGCCTGTGACTTTCAGATGAAGCCAATGCTCATTTACCATTCCAAAAATCCTAGGGACCTTCGTGCTGTGATTGCTTCCACTCAAACATGAAACAAAATGAACGGTAACACGTTTCTGTGAGGACTATTGAAATAACAGTTTAGAATGTTACATAAACTTAGCTGGGAAAGCAGCAGTGGCGTTGGAGAAGTTGACTCTAATTTTGAAAGAAGTTCTGTGGTGGGTAAAATGCTGTCAAAGAGCATTACATACTACAGAGAAACCTTTTGTGAAAGGAAGAGTCAATCGACGTGGCAAACTTCACTGGTGTCTTATTTTAGGACGTTGCCATGGCCACTCCAGCCTTCACAACCACCACCATGACCAGTCAGCGGCCATCAACATCAAGGCAGGACCCTCCACCAGCAAAAACTCTCTGACTAGCTGAAGGCGCAGATGATTGTTAGTGTTTCTTAGTAACAAAGTATTTTTTATTTTTTTTTTAGAGACGGGGTCTCGCTAGATTGCCCAGGCTGGAGTGCAGTGGCTATTCACAGGCACGATCCCACTACTGATCAGTACGGGAGTTTTGACCTGCTCCATTTCTGACCTGGGCCTGTTCACACCTCCTTAGGCAACCTGGTGGTCCCCCTGCTCCCAGGAGGTCACCATATTGATGCTGAACTTAGTGTAGACACCCGATTGGCATAACGCACTACAGCCCAGAACTCCTGGGCTCAAGTGATCCTCCCACCTCAGCCTCCCAAACAGCTGGGACTACAGGCATGCACCACCACGCCTGGCCCAAGAAAGTATTTTTAAATTTATGTACATTGTTGTTTTTAGACATTGTGCTATTGTAAAGTGTGAACACAACTTTTATATGCACTGGGAAACTGAAACATTTGTGTGACTCACTTTATTGTGATATTCACCTTATTGGAGTGTTCCAGAATGGAACCAGCAATGTCTCCGAGGTATGTCTATAATTTTTGTGCCTCCTGTTCTCCAACTAACTACTTCCCTCTTTTGGCACGACTCAACATTTTTCAACACTGAAGGACAAGTTTAAGACATATTGCTGCTCCTCCTGACCTTTTGCCAGCCTCCTTCCTATTGCTTATTTCCTCACACTTCCCCTTGGCCTTCCCGGATTCCGTAGCCCAGCATCACTGCCACGCATCTTCAGCTGCCATGCCTGTCTCCCTCCATCGAACTCGTCTGGCAAAGCCCTTACCTTGGTTCCATCCCATCTCCCCTCGCTCCTTGCCTGGCAGCTGGAGGAGTCTGGAGAATCTGCTGGATTGTGTGCACTTGCCCACTTGAGATTCACAACCACCAACTTCAAATGGGGCCCTTCATGTGGCCCCGAAAGGTCCCACGTTCCCTGGTCCCTGCACTGTCACAGCACACACGTGAAGCGTCTCTTTCCTCACACCTCCAGCACATCCTCCTCACTCCTCTGAAGTCCAGGCTTCCGACTGCACTGAGAAGATAGAGGCAATTGGTGAAGAGATGGGCAATTTCCCCACCATGTCTTCAAACTGATTTTCACCTGTCCCGTAAACTCTACCATCCCTCCTGTTTCTGCAGTTGAATCCAGTGCTCTTATCTGAAGCCAGTGCCTCACTTCTCCATGGAGGCTGCATCCTCTCAGCTATAACATGCTGTGATTGTGACCACTCAAACATGAGACAAAATGAACAGTAACACATTTCTGCCTTGCCCCCATGTCCCTCTTCAACACCCGTTCCATTGATTACTCGTTAGTAGACCTTTCTTCAGAGAGTTGCTGGCACTGTCTGTCTCCAGACTCTCTCTCGCCACCTTTCTTTCTGAGCCACGTAAGTCAGGGAATCGCCCCAGGATTACACTAAGATGGCTTTTCCAGGTCACCAGTGACATCCATCTTGCCACATCCCATGACTGGTTCTCAGTGCTCATCTTGCCCAAACTCTCATCAGCGTGTGACAGTTTGCCACTCCCTCCTCTTGGCTTCTGGGGTGGTTTTTCTCACCTCTCCCCACTGGCCACTCCTTTCCCAGTCTCCTTTGCTGCCAATGTTCGGTCCCCAGCCTCTGTAAAGTGCCAGAGGACCATTGCTGAAGCCTCTCCCCATACTCACTCCCTAGGTGAATTCATTCAGTTTCACGGCCTCGGAGACCACAGAAGGGCTCACCGCTCCCCACTATACATCTCCAGCCCAGAGCTCGCAACCAAACTCCAGCCCTGTCTATGTAAACTGCTGACTTCACATCTCCACTTGAATGTTTTATTAGTCAGTTCAAGTTGCCATAACAAAAAAACCACAGACCTGATGAACAACAGAAACTGACTTTCTCACAGTTCCGGAGGCCGGAAGTCTGCGATCAGGTTTTAGGCAGTCTCACTTTCTCCTGGGGCCTCTTTTCCGGACTCGCTTGTGGCCACTCCCATGTGTCTGCGTGGCCTTTTCTTTGTGTGTCCCTGGAACTCTCTTGCAGGACACTAGTCATATTGGATTAGGATGCCCCCATGACCTAATTTTTTTTTTTTTTTGACAGGCTTTAGTTCTGTCGCCCTGGCTGGACTGCAGTGCCGTGGTATAATCACAGATCACTGGAACCTTGAACTTCTGGGCTCAAGCGATCCTCCTGCCTTAGTCTCCTGAGTAGTGAAGGCTGCAGGTACATACCACCACATCCAGCTACATTTTAAATTTTTTTGGTAGAAATAGAGTCTCTTTATATTGCCTAGGCTGGTCTTGAACTCCTGGCATCAAGCAATCCTCCTGCTTTGGTCTCCCAAATTGCTGGGATTATAGGCATGAGTCACTGTACTTGACCCTAATTTAATCTTAATTACCTTGATAAGGCACTATCTCCAAATACAGTCACATTGGGAGCTAGGGTCTCAAGATAAAAACTTGGTGAGAGCACAGTTCAGTTTGTAATGGATGTCCAGTGGGCACCTCGAACTTACCACGTCTTCTAGGTGAATGGCAGTTCCATCCTTCCAGGTGCTCAGGTGGAATCCCCAGGTTCCCCCTTCCTCGCTGCTGCACATTTCAATCCACCAGCAAATCCTGTTGTCTCTGCTTTAAAAATGGGTGTGGCTTCTAACTGCTGCTTTCTGCCTTCACTGCCATCACGCTCATCCAAACCATCATCATTTTAAAACTAAATTAAGAAAATGGCCTCCTGCGCTGTCTCCTGTTTCTGCCCTTGGCCTTTAAAATCATTTATCAATGTGCCAGTGAGAGTAATCCTTCTAAAACAGAAGTCAGACCATGTTACTTTCTGTTCAGCCTCCTGCCACAGGAAGACCCCATCTCATTCTTTCAGGGACCAGCAGAGCCCTGCAGGCCACCTCTCCAATTGCCTGGTATTCTGCTGCTTGCTGCTTCTGCTCAGCCACGCTACTCTCCTTGCTGCTGCTGGAGGCATGTTCTCACCTCACGGCCTTTGCCTTTGCTGTTCCCTCTGGCTGAAATGCTCTTGCACTGGATATTATGTGTTGTGTTTCCATCATCTTTGTCAGATATCTGCTCACATATGACATTTTCAGCCAGGCGTGGTGGCTCATGCCCGTAATCCCAGCATTTTAGGAGGCCAAGGCAGGTGGATCACCTGAGTTCAGGGGTTTGAGACCAGCCTGGCCAACATGGCGAAACCCTGTCTCTATTAAAAATATAAAAATTAGGTAGGCATGGTGGCAGGTGGCTGTGATCCCAGCTACTCGGGAGGCTGAGGCAGGAGAATCTTTGAATCTGGGAGGCAGAGGTTGCGGTGAGCTGAGATCATGCCACTGTACTCCAGCCTGGGAGACAGAGCAAAACTCCATCTCCAAAAAAAAAAAGACATTTTCAGAGAGGTCCTCTTTGACTATATCACAAAAATAGTGCTCCCACTCTTGCTATGCAAACTCAATTTCTCATACCGTACTCTGTGTATTTCTAAAGCAGTCATCGTCAAATGGTATACTCTCTCTAAATTATTTTTTTGGGCATTTTTCTATTGCCACCTTCTCTCTTCACTAGCATGTGGCTCCATGAGGGCAAACACTTAATCTGTTATGTTCACTGGGGCATTTCCAGAATCCAGAACTTGCCTGAAGCCCAGTAGATGTCAATAAGTTCTGGAGGGATGAATGAATGACTCCTTTCATTGTAAGGCAGTTTGGGGTATGCAGTCTTTATCTGGACACATTTCTCCTCTTCTCTTTGTAGGGGAGAAAGGGATGAGGATGCTGGATAAGCAGCTCAGCATGTTCCCCATCGTGTAAGGGAGTCATGCCAAGCTCTGCACTGTCCTCCTTGGTACGTATCCTCAGAATGCATCCTTTGCAGAAGCAGGAAGTACCTGTGCCAGCAGGTGGGATCATGCTGACTAGAATCTAGTGGACAAGGTAAGGAAAAGTAAGCATTGAGGAGGGGAAAGCATTTGTTGTATGAGGTCTGGGGAGGTCCTGCCTCAAGGAAGAGGGTTGCACAGACCCCTGGGAAGCCTCGCCTCTGTGCACTGGAGCTGGTGGGTTGAGGTATGGGCTCTCAAATTGAGCCTGATTTCTGGACTGTGGCACGGAATGGTGCTGGGTGTGTATCTTATTCTGTTTTGTGCTGCTATAACAGGATAGCTGAGATTAGATAATTTATAATGAACAGAAATGTATTTTTTATGGTCCTGGAGTCTAAGTCCAGAATCAAGGGGTTGGCTTCTTGTGAGGGCTTCTTGCTACATCATTATATGGCAGAAGGTGAGAGGGCAAGAGGTGAAGTGCACACAGAGAGGGGAGAACAAACATGTTCCGCTACAGTGAACCCTTTCCCATGATAATTAACATACTCCCACAATCATGGCATTCATTCATTCATGAAATCAGAGCCATCGTGACCTACTTACCTCTCAACAGATACATCTCTTAGTACTGCTACAATTGCAATTAAATTTCAACATGAGCTTTGGAGGGAACATCGAAACCACAGCAGTGTGCCATTCTTCATGTTCACCTCTGAGCGTACCTTCACCCTTGCTGTGCCCATCCTTGAGGATTTGCCTTTCATCCCCAAGTCTGGCTTCAGCCCATAATCTTTTGTGCCAATGCCAAAAATTGAGGCTTAAAGTCTCACTGAGTAATTTCACCAAGATATCTTATAAACCAATAGTCAGTGAATTCTACTTGGTCACCTGTGGATACTAGTTGGGTATGTAAGTTAGTGTTTGCTGCTGAAAATAGCCACTGTTTATTGAGCTCACAATTCAGTGGATTTGCAATTTGGCCTGGGTTCAGTGGGGTGGTTCTTCTGCTCTCAGCTGGGCTCACACGTTCAATTGCAGCCAACTTCCGTGGCTGAGGCTAGATGGTCTCGGGCTAGGATGGCTTATCTCTACTTTGTGTGGTCACTCATAGTTGGCAGGCTGGCACAGGCTTGCTTACATGGCAGGCCCACAGGGCTCTGAGGTAGCATAAGAGCATGCATCGCTTATTGAGGCCTAAGCTCAGATCCCAAACTCCATCACATCTATTACATTCTGTTGGTCAAAGCAAGCCGTCACAAGGGCTAGTATATGGACCACACAACTGAGTGAGAAAGCAGAGAGATGTTTCTTCACCCAGGGGCCCTCACATTTTCTGTTTTTTATAGGCCCTCAGTCTGCTCCTCTCATTCCCAGCAGTCGTGGGTTCTGTGGAGTCCTCTGCCTTCTGCCCTCGGGCTAGACAGCTGTGTCTGTGAGCTCTGTGACTGTTTTTGTGTGTTTGTTTATTTGTTTGTTTTCCAGACAGGCTTCATAGAAGCTCTCAGAGACACGTTTTGGCTTAAGAGCCTCTCGATTTTCCTGGTCCGTTGTCATAGCCAGAGCTTGTTGGCAAGGCTTCAGCCATTCGTATGTGATGCTGTGCCCTGATTAACGGAGGTGGTTTCACTTTTATTGTCCCTCTGTGGCAGCCTGTCCACCCCGTGGCTGGGGCAGAAGCTGCCCACAGGTCTGCGGCTGTTTACGGGCAGAGCCAGAGACGTGCTGTGCTCATTCCGAGATGTGGTGGGGATGGAGGTATGGGTCCCATCCTGCTCTGTGACCTTGGTCAACAGTTTTAACTTTTCCTAACTGCCTACCAAAGTGTCATTTCCCTCATAGTTACAAATTATATGATAAAACTTCCTTTTGCCATCATTGGTTTGTCCCACTACTGGACCATCAGCATACAAACATGCTATCCTTGCTCCTATCTTTTTTTTTTTTTTTTTTGAGACAGAGTCTCACTCTATCACCAGGCTGGAGTGCAATGGCGCGATCTTGGCTCACTGCAACCTCTGCCTCTGGGGTTCAAGCGATTCTCCTGCTTCAGCCTCCTGAGTAGCTGGGAGTACAGGCGTGCACCACCACACCCGGCTAACTTTTGTATTTTTAGAGAGACGGAGTTTCATTATGTTGGCCTGGATGGTCTTGATCTCTTGACCTCGTGATCCACCCACATTGGCCTCCCAAAGTGTTGGGATTACAGGCGTGAGCCTTTGCACTCGGCCCCATTGCTCCTATCTTAAAACATTGATCTTGTCTTAACTCCATGTCTCTTTTCCCACTGCTCTTCAGAGATAAACTCTTTAAAAAATGTGACTGTACGCACTATCCCCAGTATGTGGGCTTCCATTTCCCCTTCAAGCCTCTCTGGTGAGGACTCCTCCTCGCCTCCTCTGAAACTGCTCTTGGCAAGGTCAGTTGCTAAGGCCAATGGTCATTCTCTGTCCCTATCTGATTCTCCACAGGTAGCCACTTTCTCCTTGAGAAACTCTCCTCTCACTTGGCCGCCTTCTCCCTTCTTGCTGGCTGACTCATCCTCATTTCCCTGACCATTGGATATTGGAGGGCCCTAAGTTCAGGCTCCAGGCCTTTCCTCTTTCTTATGTATGTCTCCTTGGTGATCTCATGCTGTCTCATGGCTTTAAACACCAGCTGTATGCCAATGACTCTCATAATTATGTCTCCAGTTCCAACCCTTTCTGGTCCTCAGACTCACAAATCCAACTGATTGTTCAACATCTCCAATTGGATGGATGTGTAACTGGCATCTTAAATTTAGCATGTGAAGTCTGAATCCTGGTATACTTCCAATCTGCTCCTCTCACTGTTGCATAAAGGCAAGGTCATCTTGCAAGTTCTTGCCTGTGATCCTCTCTGTGTGTGTGTGTGTGTGTGTGTATACATAGCGTTTTCTTACATATTTACAAATTATATGATATTTGTAAACAGGATTAGATGTGAATGGCTGAAGCCTTGCCATTGTTAGTTGCATACCCATTAAGAATTGTGATGACTGCTTGGAGGATTGACTCCTTTGTTATTATGTAACGATCCTCTTTATTCTTGATTATTTTAATTGCTTTGAAGTCTGCTCTGTCTGAAATTAATATAACTACAACTTTTAAAAGAATTTTCAATTTTGTGGGTACATAGGAGGTATATATATTTATAGGGTACATGAGATATTTTTATACAGGCATACAAAGTATAATAATCATGTCAGGAGTAAAGGTATCCATCACCTCAAGCATTTATTATTTTAGTTATTTAAAAATGTACAATATACTATTATTGACTGTAGTCACCCTGCTGTACTATCAGATAGTAGCTTATTCTATCGAATTATTTTTTGTACTCATTACAAAATTTCCACTCCTCTCTCCCCCACTACCTTTCCTAGCCTCTGGTAACCATCATTCTACTTTCTATCTCTATGAATTGGATTGTTTTAATTTTTAGCTCCCACAAATGAGTGAGAACATGAGAAGTTTGTCTTTCTGTGCCTGGCCTACTTAGCATAATGACCTCCAGCTCCATCCACATTGTTACAAATGGCAGGGTCACATTTTTTTTTTTTTATTACGGCTGAATAGTACTCCATTATGTATAAGTACCACATTTTCCTTATCTGTTTGTGTGTTGATGGACACGTAGGTTGCTTCCAAGTCTCAGCTATTGCGAATAGTGCTGCAATAAATGGGAATGCAGATACCTCTTTGATACACTGAGTTCCTTGTATTTTGGGTATGTATCTAGAAGGGGGTTTGCTAGATTATATGACAGTTCTATTTTAAATTTTTTGGGGATCCTCCAAACAGTTCTCCGTAGTGGTTGTACTAATTTACATTCCCACCAATGGTGTGTGATGGTTCCCTTTTCTTCACATCCTCAGGAGCATTCGTGATTGCCTGTCTTTTGCATAAAAGCCATTTTAACTGGGAGGAGATGATATCTTGTTATAATAATAATTTTGATTTGCATTTCTCTGATGATCAGTTATACTGGGTACCTTTTCATATTCCTATTTGCCATTTGTATGTCTTCTCTTGAGAAATGTCTGCTCAGATCTTTTGCCCATTTTTAATTGGATTATTAGACTTTTTTCTATAGAGTTGTATGAGCTCCTCATATATTCTGGTTATTAATCCCTTGTCAAATGGATAGTTTGTATATTTTCTCCTGTTCTGTGGGTTGTCTTTTCACCTTGTTACCTGTTTGCTTTGTTCTGCAGAAGCTTTTTAACTTGATATGATCCCATTTGTCCACTTTTTACTTTGCTTGCCTATGCTTGTGGAGTATTACTCAAGAAATCTTTGTCCAGCCTCATGTTTTGGAGAGTTTCCCCAATATTTCCTTTCTGTATTTTCATACTTTGAGGTCTTACACACACACACACACACACACACACACACACACGTATGTGTGTGTGTGTGTGTGTGTGTGTGTGTGTGTGTGTATATAAAATTTTATTTTATGTTTTGGAGACGGACTCTCATTCTGTCACCCAGGCTGGGGTGCAGTGGCATGATCCCAGCTCACTGCAACCTCTGCCTCCCGGGTTCAAGTGATTCTCCTGCCTCAGCTTTCCAAGTAGCTGGGGTTACAGATGTGCCACCACCATGTCTAGCTAGTTTTTGTATTTTTAGTAGAGACAGGGTTTCACCATGTTTCCCAGGCTGGTCTCAAACTCCTGGCCTCAAGTGATCTGCCTGCCTTGGCCTCCCAGAGTACTGGGATTACAGGCATGAGCCATCATACCCAGCCTGGGGTCTTAGATTTAAGTCTTCAATCTATTTTAATTTTATTTTTGTATAAGGTGAGAGATAGGGGTCTAATTTTATTCTTCTGCATATGGATATCCAGTTTTCCCAGCACCATTTATTGAAGACTGTTTTCTTCCCCAATGTATATTTTTGGCACTTTTGTAAAAAAATGAGTTCACTGCAGATGTATAGATTTGTTTCTGGGTTCTCTATTGGTGTCATCAGGCAATGTGTCTGTTTTTATGCCAGTACCATGCTGTACTGTATACTCTGTAGCATAATTTGAAGTCAGGTAATGTGAGTCCTCTAGTTTTGTTCTTTTTGCTTAATGCAACTTGGCTATTCTGGATCTTTTGTGGTTCCATATAATTTTAGCATTTAAACACATTTTTTCTAATTTTAATTTTAAAAAATTTTGTATAGTCTAACCATCTTGCCCAGGCTGGTCTCAAACTCCCAGGCTCAGGTGATCCACCCACCTTGGCTTCCCAAAGTATTGGGATTACAGGTATGAGCCACCATGCCCAGCCTGTTTTTTTCTATTTCTGTGTAGAAAGTCATTGGCATTTTGATATGCATTACATCGAATCTCCAGACTGCTTTGGGTAATATGACATTTTCACAATATTGATTCTTTTAGTTTATGAACATGGAATATCTTTCTATTTTTTGGTGTCCTCCTCAATTTCTTTCATAAGCATTTTATAGTTTTCATTGTAGAGGTCATTCACTTGTTTGGTTAAGTTAATTCCTAGGTATTTAATTTTATTTATATTTATTATAAGTGGGATTACTTTTTCAGATTATCTGCTGTTGGCATATAGAAATGCTACTGATTTTTGTATGTTGATTTTGTATCTTGTGACTTTACTGAATTTTTTTATCAGTTCTAATAGTTTTTTGGTGGAATCTTTAGGTTTTTTCCAAATATAAGATCATATCATCTGTGAACAATGATAATTTGACTTCTTCTGTCCTTTTTTTTTGAGATGGATTCTCACTCTGTCGCCCAGACTGGAGTGCAGGGGCATGATCTTGGCTCATTGCAATTTCCACCTCTCTGGTTCAAGCGATTCTCCTACCTTAGCCACCTGAGTAGCTGGTATTTCAAACTGCCACCACCTCACCTGGCTAATTTTTGTACTTTTAGTAGAGATGGGTTTTCACCATGTTGGCCGGGCTGGTCTCAAACTCCTGACCTCAAGTGATCTGCCCTCCTAGGCCTCCCAAAGTGCTAGGATTACAGGCATGAGCCTTCCTTCCCAATTTGGATGCCCTTTCTTTCTCTTGTCTCATTGCTATAGCTAGGATTTCCTGAACTATGTTGACTAACAGTGGTGAAAGTGGGTGTTCTTGTTGTGTTCCAGATCTTAGAGGAAAGGCTTTCCATTTTTCCCTGTTCAGTATGATACTAGCTGTGCACCTGTCACATGTAGCTTTTATTGTGTTGAGGTATGTTCCTTCTATACTCAGTTTTTTGAGGGATTTTATCATGAAGGAATATTGAATTTTGTAAAGTGCTTTTTCAGCATCAATTGAAGTAGTCATATGGGTTTTGTCCTTCATTCTGTTGATATAATGTATTGCATTAATTGATTTTCATATCTTGTACCATCCTTGCCCATTTGGTCATGATGAATGATCAGTGATGAATTTAATGTGTTGTTGAATTCAGTTTGCCAGTATTTTGTTGAAGATTTTTGCATCACTGTTTATTGGGGATAATAGCTCACAGTTTTCTTTTTTTTGAGGTGTCTTGGTCTAGTTTTGGCATTAGGGTAATACTGGCTTCAGAGAATGAGTTTGTAAGTATTCCCTCCTATATTTTTCAGAATAGTTTGAGTAGAATTGGTATTAGTTTTCTTTAAACATTTGATAAACTTCAGTAGGAAAGCCATTGGGTCCCTGGCTTTCCCTGGCAGACTGACTTTTAAAATTTTCTTCTTAATTTCTTCATTGATCCTCTGGTCATTCAGGAGCATATTGTTTAATTTTCACGTGTTTCTATAGTTTCCAAAATAACTCATTATTGATTTCTAGTTTTATTCCATGTGGTCAGGGAAGATTCTTATTTTTCTTTTTTTAATTTTTTTTTGCCTTAGGCATGGTTTTTATTCACTTGGACACTGTACAAGTATTACAATTTCCTTTTGCTGTAAAAAGTATAAAAATAATCTTTATATAGGAATCCATTCGTTACTGTAAATCTTTCTAAATCTCCGCAAATGGCTCTAAATAAGGGTAAATGAATAAGCAGAAATTAAGAGGAGGTTATGGGGCAGCAGGAGGTCCAGCCAATCCTCAGGGCTGGACCACCCAGACTCCTCACCAGAGACCTCTGTTCCTTCTTTGTAGCCACCCCCACCACCTGCAGGTTCTAGGGCTAAAGGCCCAGAAGGGGGCATGTGAGAGGGCCAGGAGGTGCTGGAGGGTCAGGGGTAGGAGACAGTGAAAGAAGCTAGGGGTGGTGCTGGCATGTGCCCAGCTCCACCCAACCCTTCCCTCCTAGGGGAAGGAGCTGGCATGTGAGCAAGATAGTGAGGCTGGACAAGCTGCCCTACGGGGATGGAGGGGAAGGGGGTGGCGATGACGGCTCTTCGGTTCTGTGCCACTTGCCACTGGGTGGCAGCTGAGCCTGGGCTTGGGAAGGCCACAGAAAAGGAGAAGCAAACACTTTGGCTCCACAGTGGTGGGGGCTGAGCCCCATTCCCCTGCTCCGCGAGCACAGTAGAAGTGCCAGCGTAGGAGCGGGAGCTATGGCCAGAACTGTGCAGTGAGGGGAGGCTGGAGAAGCCAGGTGTCTGTGGCTCTCAAGCTGTGTAGGGGTCAGGTTGGGGAGGTCCCCAGGCAACCCCCAAGTCAGTCTGGGTCCCAGCCACACAGGGCATGTCCCTGTCAATCAGAGGTTGAGAACAGGCACATCAAAGAGGTCACAGACACCTTCACTCTCATCCAGGTTGTAGATGTAATTGTGGTCTCCCGGGGGTGGAGAAAGACGGAGCAGGGGGGCAAACACTTCTGAGGACATCAACTCCTCCAGCAGCTCTGAGCTCATGCACTCTCGTGTGGGATCAAAGATTTCTGACAGCTCTTTGGGGAGTTCCAAAACGCCTATGGGGTCTGCCTTGATGGGCTCAAAGGAGGTAGAAGGATTGGGTCCAGATGAACTGCTGCTGTTACTGCTACTGCTGCTGCTGCTGTCCAGCAAGGCAGAAGACTGCAGTGGCGGGGTATCCAGCGCTGTTGGGCCCAGTGGGAGTGAACTGAGCTCAGCACTGTCTTTGCTATCAGTTCCAGGGCCACCACTCACTGCAACGACAGCCCCTGTGATCTCAGCTGCTGGGCTGGCCATCCCCTGGACTTCTGTGCTACCAGGGACAGGAGTGGGAGTGAGCTGAGGACTATTTGGACGTGAGGCTTCCTGGGACTGAGCAAGGGCAGGCTTGGACAGAGGTGGAGGCATAGAAACAGCAGGTGGGCTCTGGAGCAGATCTTCATGTGGTGGCACAGGCACAGCCACAGGGGATGAGCTCCATGCCTCCTTATTCACCAGCAGAACCTCAATGGGGCCACTAACACTCTTCAGGTGAATCTGGTACTTCTTCTGCCCATTGAGACCCTCTGGGATGGGCACCTCCAGGCTGGTGCCTGATGGGGCCCGGATGGCCAAGAGGGTATCTCCAGCAAAGCATCTGCAGATGTCCTCATGAGTGACGTAGGCCAAACAGCTGTTCTGCACGTCCTCTGTGACATTCTGGATGCTCTGCTGCACCCACACCTTATGCTGGTCTAGTTCTTGCTCCCGCTGTTGCAGCTCCTCAATCTCTGCCTTGAGCTCAGTCAGCTTGTCGGCAATCTCCCGGGTATTGCAGCCGGGCCCCACACCCTTCCACTGGATGCTGTTCTTGGACTTTTTCTCGATCAGCCGGATACCTTCCAAAACATTGGTAATGTCATAAATCCGGCGCTTCTGGCATACAGCTAGGGTGTCAGCTGCCAGCTTGAGGTCAAGCACGCCGTCCTTGGCCTCCTGCAGAAGTGACATGAGCTTGGTGGTGAGTAGTCCCAGGCTCTTTTCATGTCAGCTTGGAGTGCCTGGAGGTGGCGGCGCCTGCGGCCCAGCCTCTGCCATCTTGCCTGCCCGCCACCTCCCCTTAGCCAGGCCAGGCCAGACCCTCTTTTTTTAATTTTAAAGACTTGTTTTGTGGTCTAGTAGATGGTCTATCCTTGAGAATATTTATGTATTGAGAAGAATGAGGATTCTGCACCCACTGGAGGAAATGTTCTGTAAATATGCATAAGGTCCATTTGGCCTATAGCAGAGAAGTCCAATGTCTCTTTGGTGATTTTATGTCTGATGATCTGTACATTGCTAAAAGTGGGATGTTGAAGTCTTCAGCTATTATTGTATTGAATTATATCTTTCTCTTCAGCTTTAATAGTTGCTGTATGTATCTGGGCTCCAGTGTTGGGTGCAGATATGTTTACAATTGTTATATCCTCTTGCTGTTATATCCTCATTATTATATAATGAGCTTCCTTGTCTTTTTCTTTATAGTTTTTGTCTTGAAACCTTTTTTTTTTTTGAAATGGAGTCTCACTCTGTCACTCAGGCTGGAGTGCAGTGGTGCCATCTTGGTTCACTGCAACCTCTGCCTCCTGGGTTCAAGCAGCTTGAGCCCACCTGCATCAGCCCCACCAAGTAGCCGGGACTATAGGCACATGCCATCAAGTCTGGCTAATTTTTGTATTTTTAGTAGAGATGGGTTTCACCATGTTGGCCAGGCTGATCTCAAACTCCTGACCTCAGGTGATCCACCCACCTCGGCCACCCAGTATGCTTGGGATCACAGGTGTGATCTGCTATGCCTGGTCAGTTTTTGTCTTGAAATCTCTTGTTGTCTGATATAAGTATAGCTACTCCTGCTGTCTTTTTGTATACATTGGCATGGAGTATCTTTTTCCATCCCTTTATTTTCAGCCTATGTGAGTCTTTATAGGTGAAATGTGTTTCTTGTAAGCAACAAATCATTGGGTCTTTTTTTTTTTTAAATTCATTCAGCCACTCTCTCTTTTGATTGGAGAGTTTAGTCCATTTACATTCAATGGGATTATTGATAGGTAAGGACTTACTCCTGCCATTTTGTTGTTTGTTTTCTGGTTGCTCTGTGATCTTCTCCTCCTTCTTTCCTTGATTCTGTCTTCCTTTAAGTGAAGGTGATTTTCTCTGGTGTGTTTAATTTCTTGCTTTTGTATCTGTGGTATGTTTTTTTGATTTAAGGTTACCATGAGGCTTGCAAATAATATCTTATAACCTATTATTTTAAACTGATGACAACACTGATTGCATAAACAAAGAAACAAACTAACAAACAACCAAAGAGAAAACTAATAAAAACTCAATACTTTATCTTCATCCTTCTACTTTTAAACTTTTTGTTGTTTCTATTTATGTCTTACTGTGCTGTCTAGGTCTTGAAAAGTCATTGTAGTTGTTATTTTTGATTGGCCCATGGTTTAGTCTTTCTACTCAAGATATAAGTAGTTTACACATCACAATTACAGTGTTATAATATTCTTTTCTTTTTTTTTGAGATGAAGTCTTTCTCTATTGCCCAAGCCGGAGTGTAGTGGCATGATCTTGGCTTACTGCAACTTCCATCTCCTGGATTCAAGCAATTCTCCTGCCTTGGCCTCCTAAGTAGCTAGGACTACAGGCATGTGCCACCACACCTGGCTAATTTTTGTATTTTTAGTAGAGATGGTGGTTCACCATGTTGGCCAGGCTTGTCTTGAACTCCTGACTTCAAGTGATCCACCTGCCTCGGCCTCCCAAAGTGCTAGGATTATAGGTGTGAGCCACCATACCCAGCCTATTCTGTGCTTTTCTATGGAGTTACTATTCCCAGTGAATTTTGTGCCTTCAGATGATTTCTTATTGCTTATTAACATTCTTTTCTTTCAGGTCTCGAGGTAGTCTTATTTGGATTAAATCTGCTTGGTGTTCTATGATGTTCTTGTACTTGAATATTGATATCTTTCTCTAGGGTTGGGGAGTTCTCTGCTATTATCCCTTTGAATAAAGTTCCTATCCCTATTGTTCCCTCTCTACCACCTCTTTAAGGCTAATAAATCTTAGATTTTCCCTTGGGAGGCTATTTTCTAGATCTTCAAAGCATACGTTATTCTTTTTTATGATTTTTATTTTGTCTCCTATGACTGTGTATTTTTAAATAGCTTATCTTCAAGCTCATTAATTCTTTATTCTGCTTGATCAATTCTGCTGTTGAGAGACTCTGAGAGGCTGGGTACTGTGGCTCACATCTGTAATCCCAGCACTTTGGGAAGCCAAGGCAGGTAGATCACTTGAGTTTATGAGTTCAAGACCAGCCTGGGCAATATGGTAAAGCCCTGTCTCTGCCAAAAATACAAAAAATTAACCAAGCGTAGTGGTGTGTGCCTGTGGTCCCAACTACTCAGGAGGCTGAAGTAGGAGGATCGCTTGAGCCAAGGAGGTAAATGTTGCAGTGAGCCAAGATTGCACCACTGCACTCTAGCCTGGGTGACAGAGTGAGACCCCATCTCAAAAAAAAAAAAAAAAAAAAAAGACAGAGATAGACAGACTCTGATATATTATTCTTCAGTATGTTCCTTATGCTTTTCAACTCTAGTATTTCTGCTTGATTCTTTTTGTTTCAATTTCTTTGTTAAATTTATCTGATAGGATTTTGAATTCCTTTCCTGTATTATCATGAATTTCGTTGAGTTTCCTCCAAACAGCAATTGTTTGTATTCTCTGTATGAAAGATCACCTATTTCTGTCACTTTGGTTGCTGGTGCCTTATTTAGCTCAAATGGTGGAGTAATGTTTTCCTGAATGGTCTTGATGCTTGTGGAGTTCGTTGGTGTCTGGGCATTGAAGAGTTGAGCGTTTATTGTAGTCTTTGAAGTCCAGACTTGTTTGTACTCATCCTTCTTCAGACAACTTCCAAGGTATTCAGAGGGACTTGGGTGTTGTGATCTAAGTTTTTGGTCACAACAGCCAGATCTGCATGAGGGGGCACCCCAAGCCCAGTAATGCTGTGGCTCTTGCAGACTTGTAGAGGTACTGCCTTGGTGTTCTTAGATCAGATCTGGAAAAATTCACTGGATTACCAGGCAGAGACTCTTGTTCTCTTCCCTTACTTTCTCCCAAACAAATGGAATCTCTCTCTGCTGAGCTGTCTGGAGCTGGGGGTGGGATGACATAAGCACCTCTGTGGTTACCACCACTGGGACTATGCTGGCCAGGCCTGAAGCCAGCACAGCACTGGGTCTCACTTAAGGCCCTCAGTAACCGCCGCCTGGCTACCACCTATGTTTGTGCAAGACCCTGGGGCTATACCCTTAACAGGTGGCAAAGTCAGCCAGGCTTGTGTTCTTCTCTGCAGGGAAGCACATTTCCCCTGTTCCCAGGTGGGTCCAGAGGTGTCACCTGGGAGCTGGGGCCTGGTGTTGGAAACTTCAGGCATCTATCTGGTGCTCTATTCTACTATGGCTGAGCTTGCACCCAAGCTACAAGATGACTTCCTTCCCACTCTTCCCTCCCCTTTCTACAGTAGATGAGTCTCTTCTTAAGGCCGGTGTTGTCCCAGGTGAGTACTGCCTGGCTACTGCTGATGTTCACTGGAGACTCAAAGGCTCTTCACTCAGCTTGTAGTGAATGCTTCTAGACCTGGGACTCTCCCTTCAGGGCAGTGCGCTCCCCTCTGGCTCAGGGCAGGTCCAGAATTACCATACAAGAGCCAAGGCCTGGAATCAGGAACCCTACCAGCCCACTTGGCGCTCTACCAAACTGTGACGAAGCTGGTACCTAAGCCTCAAACAAAGTCATCTTAAATATTTGTATTTTCTTTATGCTAGAAACATTTATTCTCTTCTAGCAATTAAAAAAAAATGAAACATTTTTCTACAGGTGGTGTCTCACTCTGTCACCCAGGTTAGACTGCAGTGGTGTAACATATCTTACTGCGGCCTCGAACTACCAGGCTCAAGTGATCCTCCCACCTCAGCCTCCTAAGTAGCCGAGATTGCAGGTGCATACCACCATGCCTGGCTACTTTTTACAAAATTTTTTGGTAGAGACAGAGTTTTGCTATGTTGCCCAGGCTGGTCTCAAACTCTTAGGCTCAAGCAATCCTTCTGCCTTGACCTCCCAAAATGTTGGGATGATAGGCATGAGCCACCACACCTGGCTTCTTCTAGCTATTTTGAAATATGCAATAAGTTTATTGCAAACTATAGTCACCCTAATTATCTATTAAACATGAGGTCTTAGTTCTATCAAACTGTATATTTGTACCTATTAATCAACCTCTCTGTATGCCCCCTCTCTCCTTCCCAGACTCTGGTAACTACTGATCTACTCTCTATCTTCCTATACTTCATATTGAAATATACTTTTTAAGCTCCCACGTACGGGTGAGAACATGTGACATTTGTCTAGTTCTGAGCTTATTCTATTTCCTCAAACTGTTTTTGCCTTTTAGTCTGCCTTGTCAGTTTCTTTTTTGAGACCCAGACCTGGTGTCTTGCATGTTGGGTTCAGATAACTTGTTTTTTTAGTTTATAGATCTCTGGATCAAGATAAATTATAACCAAACCTGATGTGGAGACAAATTATCCTTCATGGACTTTGAGTTTGATATGATTGTTTTTCCCCACTTAGGGAGACGGTGTGTGTATTTTGACAGAATATTTGGTGAGCAGAGGTGTGGATTATTTTCAGCTCTCTGCCAACCAGATGCTTTGTAAGTTGTACCTCCTTCATCATTTGTGATTGGTGGGGCCACATGACCAGTTTTTATTTTGTTTTTTACTTTTTTTTTTTTTTTTGAGACAGAGTCTTACTCTGTCGCCCAGGCTGGAGTGCAGTGGCACGATCTTAGTGCACTGCAGCCTCTCCCTCCTGGGTTCAAGCAGTTCTTGTGCCTCAGCCTCCCGAGTAGCTGGGGTTACAGACCTGTGCCAGCAAACCTGGCTAATTTTTGTATTTTTAGTAGAGACAGGGTTTTTCCTTGTTGGCCAGGCTCATCTCAAACTCTTGACCTCAGGTGATCCACCCACATCAACTTCCGCAAGTACTGAGATTACAGGCATGAGCCACTGCGCCTGGCCACACGACCAGTTTTAGACAATGAGTTTTGAGAACTTATAATACTTATAAGGGCTGGAGTTCTACTTGATGAAATGAGACTTTCTAGAATTCTTTTTTTCTGTCTCTCATGATAACCAGCTTTGTTTCTTCAGCTGGTAACTAAATGAATGCATGTGGAGCAACATCCCAGCTGACATGTGGATTCAGTGAGAAATAAACCTCTGTTGTTTAAGCCATTATTGTCTGGGAGTTGCTTGTTGTCTTAACATAATACAGCCTAGCCTGACTGTTAACACGGCGTAACCTTACATCTTCTTTAGGTCTTGACTTACATGTAATCTTTTCCTCAAGGCCTTGAGATTGTACCCATACCCACCCCATCACTCTATCTCCTTCTCTACTTTGATTCCTGTACCACACCTCTCTTAATATAACATCACATAGTTTGCTCATTTATTTTATTATTCATCTCCTCCTACCACCAGAATGGAAGCCCCTAAAGCAGTGATGGTCTGAGTTTGAGTTCCACTGAAAGCAGACCCTTGAGACGGATTTGGTGTTGGTCGTTCATTTGGAAGGTGATTCTGAAGGATACAAGAAAGGGAATTGGGGAAAAACCAGAGAAGAAAGGAAAATCAATAAAGGAGGCATTAGTAAACTTATTACTGCTGCGAACAATTCTTTGGAGATCCTCTGAGAAGCCCTGTTGAACTGAAATTCTCATACATTTCCTACCTAGAGATAGAAAAACTGGAGTATTGTCCCCAACTCCTGCCATTGTTGGATGTAGGGAGGCTTAAACCTCTGGCACATCCAGGCTGACCTGTGCGTGGGCTGAGCAAGCTTGCCAAGTGCAGAGAAAGCCTTCTGGCGGAGAAGCACAGAGGTAGACACGGTTCCTGTGTGTAGGAACTGTCCAACACAGCTGCAGGTGTATCAAGGGACATGCAGTGGCAGTACCAGCAGAATCTACTGCAGAGATTTTTGCTTCTTTTTTTTTTTTTATGAGACGGAGTCTCACTCTGTTGCCCAGGCTGGAGTGCAGTGGCGCAATCTCAGCTCACTGTAAACTCCAATTCTTGGGCTCAAGCAATTCTCCTGCTTCAGCCTCCTAGCCTCCTGAGTAGCTGGCATTATAGGCGCATGCCACCATGCGCGGCTGATTTTTGTATTTTTAGTAGAGATGGGGTTTCACCATGTTGGTCAGGCTGATCTTGAACACTTGACCTTGTGATCCACCCACCTCGGCCTCCCAAAGTGCTGGGATTACAGGTATGAACCACCACACCTGGCCAAGATTTTTGCTTATTATTCCCTGGTGTATCTCCAGCCCCTAAACAGTGTTTGACAAATTTTAAATAAAAATGAGTACACTATAGTGGACATTCAGTGGATGTGTGCCCACCATCCATTTTCACTTTTGTAATTAACCCTTTCCCTCTTTTCCCTTGGGATGCTACCTCTCCCCATTTCTCAGCCGGGGGCTTTGGTTGGGATTGGACTGAGGTCTAGTTACTGGGTATGGACTACCTCTTCAGCCCCCACTCTGAAGATTTAATATAATCAACCTTTCTTACTCACCTCCTCCTCCCCACCACAGCTGTCTGTTTAAAAATGGACACATGACCCATTTGGGACCAATGAGAGTGAATTTTGGGGTTTATTCTCTCTTTCTCTGTGAGGATGTGAGGTCTGGAACAGCTGCAGTCATTTCACCACCATAGGAAACCTGCACCTTCTGAACTGACTGCATGAAGCCCAAAGAGAAAGCTAGTAAGAAGGCAGAGAGGGGAGGAAGAGAGTCTGGGTTTTTAAAAATATCTTCTGGAGCTGCTGGATCAAGCCTCACTTGAAGCTAGAACTAAATCTGCACTTTTAATTCACATACCCAATAAAAAGTTCTTTATGTTGTAAGCCAGTTCGAGGTGGATTTTCTGTCACTATGGCTAAAAGAATCCTCGCTTATTCTACACCTAACTCACAGGCTTGTTATGAGGTTTAAATAAATAGTACTTAGTGAAGTCTGGTACACAAATAACACTCAATGAATGGTAAGCAATGCTGTTATAATTATTCACTTTTACAGAGTTATGTGACCTTTTTATTCTCTACTCCAACATTGGCATGTTTCTGTTATTCTTTTCAGTATTATTTAATTTCTTCCCCAAAGGAGAGAGGCTAAGAGTATTGCCCAGCCACAGGCTCTCAGCCACCACCCCGAGCCTCAGATTCTCCTCACACAGCCACAGCCAGAGAACGATACACGGCCCACGTGGTGTGGTTCTAATTCCTCTGACATCTCATTTTCACTGTTTGGCAATATTTGTCTCATCAAGCTTACACATAAATGTTTTCAGCAAAGTGCTCCAAATGCCTTTTTCAGGAATCCGAATCCACATGAAAACAATGAAAACAAGAGAAAGGTGTAAACTTTCCAGAACAGGCCCAGAATCTGGAAATGTGATAAAGAGGTTATTGTGCGCCCGAACTTTTCACACAAGAATTGGAGGAGATTTAACACATGGAATAATAAACAGAGGAAGGCTGGCTAATGCAGAGCAGATGGGCCTGCAGGGCAGTGCTCAGCATTTCAACATCTTTCCCCTTGGACCTTTGGACTCACGGTGCATGCGTGCTGGTGTCTGTAGCTAAAAGTAAAGCTACTGCCTTTGAGGCAATCAAAAATATGGCTCATTTGATTTCTGGGGTGATTGGTGGACTAAAGTTTTCAAGAACCTACTATGTGAAAGGCATTTGACATTCACTGATTTAATTCTAACCACTACTCCATTTTGAAGGAAAAAAATGAAGGCTCTGAAAGTGTAAATCACTTACCAAAGGGTACACAGCCAGAATGAGCGTGGAGCCAGGATCACCCCAGGTCTGTCTCGGTGTATGTCATGGCTCTGCAAACTGGGGCAATAGGTGAGCAGAGAAAAGAGTCACAGCCACATAAAATTGAGATGGATTCTCTCTCTCTCTGTCTCTCTCTGTCTCTCTCTCTCTCTCTCTCTCTCTCTCACACACACGCACACACACACACACTCACACGCTCTTACATAGTAATAGCCTTATTAAGGTATAACTGATGTACAATAAGTTGTGCATTTTTCTTTTTGAGACAGAGTCTCACTCTGTCGCCCAGACTGGGGTGCAGTGGCGCAGTCTCAGCTCACTGCAACCTCTGCCTCCTGGGTGCAAGTGATTCTCCTGCCTCAGCCTTCTGAGTAGCTGGGACTACAGGTGCCCATCATGATGCCCAGCTAATTTTTGTATTTTTAGTAGAGATGAGATTTCACCATGTTGGCCAGGCTCGTCTTGAACTCCTGACCTCAGGTAATCCACCCACCTCTGCTTCCCAAAGTGCTGGGATTACAGGCATGAGCCACTGCGCCCAGCCAGCTGTATATATTTAAAGAATACTATTTGATAAGTTTTGACAATGTCTGTAGCTGGGAAACCATCACCACAATCATGATGGTGAGCATATCTGATACTCTGAAAAGTTTCCTCCATCTTTTGTAATTTCTCTTTGCCATCCCGCCTGTTGCTCCCACTCTTGATCCCAGATAACCACGGATCTGCTTTCTGTCACTACAGATTAGTTACATTTTCTAGGATTTTATATAAATGAAATGATACAATATGTACTATTTTTTTCTGTCTTTCACTTGCGAAATTATTTTGAGATTCATTCATGTTATTGCTTGTTTATTCCTTTATATTGCTGAGCAGTTATTCCATTGTATGAATATGCCACAATTTGTTTATCTATTCATGTACATATGGACATCTATAGACGTTTGCACTTTTGGGCTATGAAAAATCAAGTTGGTGTGAATGTTTGTAGACAAGTCTCTGTATGACATGTTTATTTTTTTGATAAAAACCTAAGAATGAAATGACTAAATTATATTGTAAGTACATGTTTAACTTTAAAGAAACTGTTTAAACTGTTTTCCAAAGTAGTTGCACCATTTTACATTCCTATTAGTAGTGTGTGAGAGTTCCAGTTTCCCCACATCTTCACCAACACGTGGTATGGTCAGTCTTTCAAATTTTTGTCATACTAATAGGCATGTAACGGTATTAAGTCTCTTATGGTTTTAATTTGTATTTCCCTAATAACTAATAATATTGAGTATATTTTCCTGTTTCTGTTTGCTATCTATATATCTTCATTAATTGTTCATATCTTTTGCATTTTTTTGAGTTGTTTCTTATCATTGAGTTTTGAGAGTTCTTTACATATTCTGGATACAAGTCTTTTAATAGATATATGTTTTGCAAACATTTTCTCCAAGTCTAAGCTTGTATTTTTATTCTTATAACATTGTCTTTCGAAGAGCAAAAGATTTAAATTCTGGCTAAGTCCAATTTATATTATACATTATTTTGACTTCTGTTTTACATTTTAAAAATCTGCCTGGGCACAGTGGGTCATTCCTGTAATCCCAGCACTTTGGGAGGCAGAGGCAAGCAGATGACTTGAGGTTAGGAGTTTGAGACCAGCCTGGCCAACATGGTGAAACCCTGTCTCTACTAAAAATACTAAAATTAGTTGGGCATGGTGGCAGGCGCCTGCAATCCTGGTTACTCAGGAGACTGTGGCAGAAGAATCGCTTGAACCCAGGAGCAGAGGTTGCAGTGAGCCAAGATCATGCCACTGCACTCCAGCCTGGGTGACAGAGGGAGACTTTGTCTCAGAATAAATAAATATCTAAAAACATAACAATCTTAGTTACCTTCTAGAAGTTTCCTTGGCTTGATTTTATAACTCATGCATTTTCTTTTTGGCAGTCCATTCTATGACTCTTCAGCCTATATGTTGAATGTTTTAAATTATCAAATTTTAAATTAACCTCCCAAATAGAAGTCATTCATGACTGGCTGCAGCAGCTCACACCTGTAGTCCCAGAACTTTGGGAGGCTGAAGCAGGCATGTAGCTTGAGTCCAGGAGTTCATGATCAGCCTAGGAAACATTGCAAAGCCCTGTCTCTGTGAAAAATACAAAAATCATCTGGGTGTGGTAGTGCATACCTGTAGTCCTGGCTACTTGAGAGGCTAAAGCAGGAGACTTGGTTGAGCCAAGGAGGTTGAGGCTGCAGTGAGCTGTGATCACGCCACTGCACAGTAGCACAGGTGACAGAGTGAGACCCTGTTTTAAATAAATAAATAATCATTCATAAGGTTTGCATATGGTAATCTTACATCTCCCTGATAATTAATTAGCTCAGCTATCATGTCTGTTTCCTCAGGTGTGAGTTCTGCATTTGGTAAGAGGATGGATGATGTCTGTTGCACAGAGATAGATTTCCACAGTTGGTTAGTGATTCTCAACTCAAGAATCATCTTTGTTTTGGGGGATCCCTGTTAGCCTGTCTTTGATTGCATATTGCAGTCTACCTCCAGGAGACAGGGTGAGAATCAGACATAGAGCGGCTGGGGGCATTTCATGGGGAGGGAACGCCTCATTCTTTCCTGATGTCACCAGTCCCCTGGAACACTATCATAGCTCTGGGTCCTAAAGGCTCACACTCCTGGCTCGTACATGGGGCAGACCCCTCTATTGCTGCTGCTTAGTCCAAGGGGCAATGTTAACCTCACAGTGGCTTCTTTGGTGCCCCAGCTCCTTTCCCTTCAGTTGTGCAGAGCTACAACTGCCCCCAGGCTCTGCTACCTCAAGGCTTTTTGTTTTTTGGTTTTTTGGAGATGGAGTCTCACTCTGTTGCCGCTGGAGTGCAATGGTGTGATTTTGGCTCACTACATCTTCTGCCTCCCAGTTTCAAGCGATTCTCCTGCCTTAACCTCCTGAGTAGCTGGGATTACAGGCCTCCATCACCATCCTGGTCAATTTTTGTATATATATATATATATTTTTTTTTTTTTTTCACAGGAGTAGGACTTGTGGCTTTATAAGAAAAGAAACAGAGACCTTAGCTAACACCCTCAGGCCCCTCATCATGCTATGCCCTGCACTGCTGCCTCAGGACTCGAGAGAGAGTCCCCACCAGCAGCCCCTCAACCTTGAAATCCTCAGCTTCCAGAACTATAAGAAATACATTTTGTTTCTTTATAAATTACCCATTTTTAGGTATTCTGTTATAAACAACAGGAAATGAAGACAGCCACTTAAAACCGTATTTCCCAATCTTTTTTCCCACTGTGACACACATGACATAAAATGTATGTATCAGACAACCACTTGAGGCTCTTCACTCTACAAAAAAAATTTTTTTTTTTTTTGGAAGAAAGAGAGAAAGAAAGAAAGAGAAAGAATTAAAAAAAAAGAAAAAGGAAAAAAAAGAATGAAGGAGAGGAAGAAAGAGGAAGAGGGAGAGAGAACAGGGGTGCTGCTTTATTGCCCGGGCTAAAATGCAGTCTAAAAATGGGTATGCCTGTAATTGTGTTTAATAATAGAGACATAAAAAAAAATGAGGGAAGAAAATAACTAACAAGCAGCCAACCAATATTTCATTTAAACCTATAAATAGGTGTGATGTGGTACTGATAAGAGTGTATATTTTGTGTATTTAAAGTGGAGAGTTCTATAAATGTTAATTAAGTCTACTTGTTCCGGATCTGAGTTCAAGTCCTGGATATTGATGTTAACTTTCTGTCTCACTGATCTGTCTAATATTGATGTTGAAATCTCCCACTATTATTGTGTGGGAGTCCAAGTCTCTTGATAAGTCTTATACATCTGGGCATTCCTGTATTGGGTGCGTATATATTTAGGATCTTTAGCTCTTCTTGTTACATTGATCCTTTTATCTTTATGTAATATCCTTCTTTGCTTCTTTTGATCTTTGTTGCTTTAAAGTCTATTTTATCAGCAAAAATTGCAACTCCTGCTTTCTTTTTATTTTTGCTTTCCATTTGGTTGGTAAATTTTTCTTCATCCCTTTGAGTCTTTGTGTATCCTTGCATGTGAGATGGATCTGGATGTAACATACCAATGGGTCTTGGCTTTTTTTGCCTGTCTGTGTCTTTGGATTGGGGGATTTAGTCGATTTAAATTTAGAATTAATAACAATATATGTGAGTTTGATACTGCCATTTGAAGTTAGCTGGCTGTTTTGCCCATTAGTTGATACAAGTTCTTAATTATGTTGATGTTCTTTATTTTTTGATATTTTTTAGAAAGGCTGATACTAGTTGTTCCTTTCTATTTGTAGTGGTTCTTTCAGAAGCTCTTGTAAAGCAGACCTGGTGGTGATGAAATCTCTGAGTGCTTGCTTGTTCACAAAAGATTTTATTTTTCCTTCGCTTATGAAGCTTAGTTTGGCTGGATGTAAAATTCTGGGTTGAAAGTTATTTTCTTTAAGGATGTTGAATATTGGCCCCCACTCTCTTCTGTCTTGTAGGGTTTCTGCTGAGAGATCTGCTGTGAGTCTGATAGGCTTCCCTTTATGGGTAACCTGACCTTTCTCTCTGGCTGCCCTCAGTATTTTCTCCTTCATTTCAACCCTGGTGAATCTGGCGATTATGTGCCTTGAGGTTGGTCTTCTTGAGGAATATCTTTGTGGTGTTCTCTGTATTACCTGGAGTTGAATATTGTCCTGCCTTGCTAGGTTGGGAAAGTTTTCCTGAATAATATCCTGAAGCGTATTTTCCAGCTTGGATTCATTCTCTTCGTCACATTCAGGTACACCTATCAAACGTAGATTAGGTCTTTTCACATAGTCCCATAATTCTTGGAGACTTTGCTCGTTCTTTTTTATCCTTTGTTCTCTAATCTTGTCTTTTTGTTTTATTTCATTAAGTTGGTCTTCGACCTCTGATATCTTTTCTTCTGCTTGATCAATTCGGCTGTTAAAACTTGTGCATAGTTTGCGAAGTTCTCATGTTGTGTTTTTCAGCTCCATTAATTCACTTATATTCCTCTCTAAATTGTGTGTTATTGTTAACATTTCGTCAAACCTTTTTTCAAAGTTCTTAGTTTCTTTGCATTGGGTTAGAACAAGTTCTTTTAATTCCCAGAAGTTTCTTATCATCCACTTTTTAAAGCCCGCTTCTGTTAATGGAACACAGTCTTTCTCCATCAGGCCTTGTTCTGTGGCTGATGAGGAACTGTGATCCCCTGTAGAGGGAGAGGCATTCTGATTTTGGGTATTCTCAGCCTTTTTAGGCTGGTTTCTTCCCTTTGTTATAGATTTATCCATCTGTGGTCTTTATAATTACCGTCTTTATAGTCGGGTTTCTGAATGGATGTCCAACCCATTGATTCCCGGCGCCAAAAT